GAGACAAAGTGTTTTAAGCATTTGAAGGAACAGGTTTCTAGCATAGTTTGAGCAGGTTTGCTTCTGCAAATTAGCCTTCTCTTGCTGCTTCAAAGCTTTTACCAATTACCCTTCTGACGCCAGTGGAGAAACTGATAGCCTCTAAAAATATATTTTTTTCTGCATGTGGTTATTTAATTGATTATGTAATGGAAATTACTCTGATGATTGTAAATAAAGAGCTCAAAAAGAAATTGTCAATAAAAAAATAGTACTAAAATGCTGTAACAGTAATGAGCGGCGTTTTCAAATCGTAAATGATAACTAAATTATTGCCTTATTTAGGCTTGTTGTAAAATGGGAGTAACGTTTTGAAATCATTTTTTATTATCTTGTTAATTTAAACGTTGATGCAACGTGATTTGAATTTTCTGTTTAATCTTATCAGCAATTTTTGATAACAACAAAACCAAGCATTTTTTCAATTTTATATTGAACAAATGAAGTGAAATTTGAGACTGCAGCAACAGCAATTGCAATTGACATTGACAGTGAAAAGAGATGTCAAAAGTTGCTATGTATGTGATAATGATAAACCAAAATATTGAGTTCAACTANCAACAGCAATTGCAATTGACATTGACAGTGAAAAGAGATGTCAAAAGTTGCTATGTATGTGATAATGATAAACCAAAATATTGAGTTCAACTATTGGCTCAATAGTACGGTGCAGCTGTTTGAAATGTGCACCAAAATGATTAAAATAAAAAACCGTACACGTTGTTTAAAGAAGAAAGGGAAAAAGAGAAAACGATTTTGATGAGTTTAACTTTAGTGATGATAAGAAAAGTAGTGATAAGAAAACTGATTATCGTTTCATCGGCAGTTGATCAAAGAGCAAACTAGCTTGTGCCAATATTGCACTCGTTCGCCGAATAAATTTTTAGTTGATTAATATTTGCATGAACATTTTGCGTTACTTTTTATTACATTGCCGGTTGTGTGTTTTACGCTTATAAAAGCACAAGCCTTGATAAAATCAGTGCCAATTAATAATTTAAATTGTGCTTTTCTTGTCCTTCTTAATTGCCAAAACAATTAAAAATTTACTATTGTAAAATTTCTCAAAATGAGTTGAAAACAAGTGAACACATTCCTAATCAATTTAAAAAATCATTTGATTATTTTAAAAATCCCTTTTGAATCCTTCTTGCATTACATACATTTTCGTCGTCTGATAAGCAACAATTGTCATTATGACGCTAGAGCTTGAACTAAATGGTGATGGTGACCACCATCAGCCAAACAAAAGGGATCAAATAAAAGCAAAAAATGAGGACGAAAACCTAACGATGACCTCTTGCGGAATTGGCTCCTTCCGACCGAAGTGGATGCAGGTGTTCGCCACGCCCGTTTGGTTTCTCGTCAACATTAGCTTTGTTGGAATTTGCCAGGGCATGGCGGGCAGCCTCATCTTCACGGTGATGAACACGCTGGAGAAAAGGTTAGTGCAAAATTAAAACTTTTTTGTTTTGGTTGTTTTTTTCACTATCTGTTTATCAAATGTCTCAAAACCTGAACGGTACTCTCTCTCTCTCTCTCTTTCATTCAGGTACGCCTTTGACTCAAGGATCTCGGCGATAATCTTCTCCGCAGACAACTACAGCGGCCTGGTGCTCAGTCCGCTGGTTGGCCTGTACGGCATCAAGTTCAATCGCAGTCGGCTGATTGCTATTGGTAAATGCTGATGATAATAAACAACAAGCTTGTGCTAAATTAATCTTTTTTTGTTATCAATTTTACACAACAAAAACTTTAACCCTTCAGGCGAAATCATCCTCGCCCTGTCCTGTCTGAGCACCGCCCTGCCCTACTTCATCTACGGCCCCGGTGATCACCTGATCCAGGAAGGGGAAGGGGAGAGCTTTGCAACTCAGTTCAACCGAAGCTCTTTTGACCTGTGCTCTGCCTCGGACAACCTTGCTTTAAGCGATTCCTGTTCAATTGTCGGCGGCGGAAATGGAAGCACCGGAAGCACCACCACCACCACCACCACCACGCACAACACCGTCTGGGGCGCGGTGATAATCCTCTTCCTCTCCAACTTCTTCCGCGGCGTCGGCTTCACCACGTACTACGTGATAGCGATGCCGTACATCGACGACAACACCGCCTCCCGCTCCAGCCCCGTCTACATCAGCGTCATTCAGTGCGTGATGCTGGTCGGCCCGGCGGCGGGCTTCTACTTCAGCTCCCTCTGCCTGAGCCTCTACGAGGACCCCTTCCGCGAAAACCCGGGCATTCCCCGGTCCGATCCGCGCTTCGTGGGCGCCTGGTGGCTCGCCTTCCTCATCACCGGCGTCCTCCTGCTGGTGGCCGCCGGGCCGATGTTCCTCTTCCCGCCGCAGTTCAAGGGCGCCCCGGTGAAGGCCGATGAGATCAAGCGGCGGATGAAGGAGTCAGGCGGAACGATGGAAGCCCTGCGCCGCTTCCTCCGCAATCCCATGATCCTCATCTACTTCTTCGGGAACCTCTTTCGCTACTTCGGCGTCCTAGGCTTCTACATGATGCTGACGAAGTACATTGAAAATCAGTACCGCGTGTCCAGCTCGCAGGCGAGCCTGGTCTCGGGGACGGCCAGCGTCACGCCGATCAGCGTGGGCATCCTCCTCGGCGGCGCCGCCATTTACCTCTTCAAGCCCAACGCCCGGAAGCTGTTCACCTTTGTGGCGGTGGCCGAGCTGGCCAGCTTCTTCACCATCGGCTCGGGCCTCTTTCTAGGCTGTGAGCCGATTAGTTTAGGTGCTACCAGCGGTGGTGCAGTTTCAAATTTTGATTCCGCTTTAGGCGGTGGTGGTGGACAATTGTAAGCAATTAAATGTTTTTGATAATAACTTATTAACAACAAAAACCTTCCCTTTTTCTCATCCCTCCAGAACTCCTCTGGTAAACGCAATGCTCAACGCGACGTGCAACTCCCACTGCGCCTGCTCAACGCGCGTTTTCACGCCCATCTGCGGACCGGACCGCCTGACCACTTACTTTAGTCCTTGTCACGCCGGCTGTGCCTCATACAATGAGCTTAATTCGGTAGGTGCATATATATGTCACTAACAAAGCACTTTTTTAACTTTTAAAAATAATTTAATTGTACAGACATTTGGAGAGTGTTCATGTTTTGAGGGCATTGCCACTAAGGGCTACTGCCCCAAGGACACCGAGTGCAGCAACCTGAACTGGTTCCTAGCGCTGATGATGCTGGGAACGCTGGTCTCTTCAACGGCAAAGACAGGTACCGAATTAGGTGAAATAAAAACCATTTTCCCCTTACTGTTATTAAAAAATTAGCTTCGTCGGTGCGTTCGTCACAGGCGCTACTGCGCATGTTCCCCGCTCTGCTGGCGAAGCAGAGCGGAAGGGGAAAAAGGGAAGAAGTACAGTAAAAAGGGGAGCGGGAGAGGAAAAGGTGTGGGAACTGTGTTGCTTACTGT